ATATATATATATATTAAAATTTTATTTTATTTCAACAGTAAAGGCAAAAATGGTAAACAAAATTTAACATTTGGTAACATCCTTCTAGATATTAATGACACTATTTTCATTTTTTAAAACAATATATTATTTTTAACTTTAAATCACATCCATCAATAAAACATATTAAAAAAATGAATATAACACACCATATTCAATTATATGGAGTGAATCGTTTTAAATTTTGAATTACATTATATGAACGAAATTGGTTTCACCATAAAAATGTTTCGATTCATATTTGTAATAAGACCTGGTTTCACGTTCATGAAACTTGTTTCATTTTCCTTTTCATAATTTATTTTCAAAATGCACCGGTTTCGTTCTCCTGTTCATCAACAAAATGGATCAACTACACCATCAATGCAACGRTTTCACCATAAAAATGTTTTGGTTCACCTAATTTATTTGCAACATGAACCGGTTTCACGTTCATGAAACTTGTTTCATTTTCCTTTTCATAATTTTTTTTTCAAAATGCACCGGTTTCATTTTGCTTCTCATAAAAAAAGATTAACTACACCATCAATGCAACGGGTTCACCATAAAAATATTTCGGTTCACCTAATTTCTTTGCAACATGAACCGGTTTCACGTTCATGAAACCTGTTTCATTTTGTGATTTTTTTTTGTTCATCTACGTTTTGATGATTTCATTCTATTATTCAATTGTTTCATCAAGACACATTTTCTGATTATAACTCATGATAATATATGAAATCCAAATTTTTAATATTTTCACATAATTAAATATTTAAATGTTAACATTTATATAATTTCCTTTATTACGTTTCCTTAATTAAGATTTATAATAACTTCTATATTTAATAGAAAATATTGTAAATGACCGAAATACCTTTATTGATTAAATTTAATTAGAAAAAAAGGAATTTTTTTATTGGTCGAAATTGGTTTACACGGTTTCTTAGAAATGCACGGTTTTCATTTGAACGTGCCCTATATATATATATATATATATATATATAGACTTAGGATCATGTGAGACCAGCATGTTTTCGTGAGACCCGTGAGACCAACATTTTACACTTGAAACTTCACAGCAAAATGCTGTGAAGGTAACTTTTTAAAACCTTCACAGTGTTTTTGCTGTGAAGGTTCGACTTTTTTTAAACCTTCACAGCGTTGTTGCTGTGAAGTTTATGTGTAAAAATGTGGTCTCACGGGTCTCACGAAAACAGGCTGGTCTCACGTGGACCCAACCCTATATATATATATATATATATATATATATATATA